CGTTAGGCTTAACGAACGAGCCGAACACGAGCTGTTCATGAACAACGAGCCAAATTGACAGCCCTACATAAGACGTGTCATATATCTAAAATAATATGGATAAGTATTATGCAATAAAATGAAATGTTTGGACATCCTTGAAGGCTTATATTTAAACAATAAGTTATCAAATAATTTTATATTAATTCACTGTATTCAACAAACGTACATGTTTTAATTTTTTGTTACAGCTCATAAAAATTATGTTTGTGAGATCTTACGATAAACCAAGTTATAAAATACACTTCCATCTTCTCAAATATATATAATCCGATAACAGTGAGCGTGCTTATCCAATGGAACAGATGGATAAATATTTACCTGATACTCTACTCGCAGCGAGCTAGAACAACGTTAATCGCTCAAAAATCGATTCAAATTTTTGCTCGAATTGAGATCAAGATCGGATCGAAATAAACAAGCCAAGCAATAAACTGAAAGTTTGGATTTTTTTTTTTTTTTTTTTGAACTCGCTCAAAAATCGAATTGAGATCAAGATCAGATCGAAATAAACAAGCCGAGCAATAAACTGAAAGTTTGGATCTTTTTTTTTTTTTTTGAACTGATTTCAAGCCATACATGGATCTACTCGAACGAACTTGAGACCCGCTCAAAGTACTTTTTATATATATAAATTATATATACAATGCAAAGTAAAATTGAATATAACGAATCACAAGTCAATTTCAAGGTTAAAAACAAAAAATAGACAACAACATAAAAAAAATGTATTTGCTTGTCTATTTTTTATTTTATTTATGTTTTCTATTTTTTTGGGAGAACACTCGTACTTTTAAAAAACTAAAAAACATTTTTTTTTTTTCTAAAACACCAAAACAACCTTTCGCCTCGTCCGCAACTGCTGTCCACTTGCCGTCGGCCCCCACTCGCCCCCGCCAACCGCCCATCCCCAGGTTATGCTTTGTGCTCGGTGAAGCCGTGGGTGACAGCTTAATACTAGAGCACACATAGATCCAACCGTTTTTTTTTTTTTAAATATAATTTTTTCTTTAAAAAAATAAAAAATAACCAACCAACCATGTTTTGTATTTTTTATTTTTAAAATCATATAAATCATAACATTTTCAAAAAAAATTTCTAAAATCAAAAAATAAAAAACAAAATAGACTAAAAAAAATAAAAATAAAAAATAGAAAGTAATATCAAAGATGCCCTTAATATGAGCCAGTTAGTTTCAATATTGAGCACAATCAAACCAATCCAATGTATAACAGATCTAACAACTCAATTTGAACCAGCTCATTTTAATTTCAAGCTGGATCAGCTCGATTTAATTTTGAGCCTACTCGGCTCGAAATTGATTATAACGAGCCACGATTCAATTTCGAGTCAAACTAAGTGTAATCGATTTGATTCAACTCAGCCCAACATCGGATCATTAACAGGTTTATCTACTCATTACTCGAAGAATAAATAAAGATTACTAAAATATTTTCTCCATCATCACTATCATCGTTACAAAAACTCTAAGTTCGATTACATTCTACATGCGACGAGAAATAGTTTAACTTAAAATAATCTTGACAAAAATATACTTCATTGCAGGAACATTAAGTAAATGCCACACAAGATTAGATTAAAAAAAAAAGCAGAATGATATTTTGATCTCTGAATATAACCTATTCATTGAATCCCTCTTGAGTCACAAGAGCAAAATAGTGAATTTGTGACTTCTGCAATAGGCAGTTCTGCCAATAATATACAGAATGAGCAGAAGATTGGGACAAATGCCATCAGGGAAATCTAATAAACTAAAGTAATTAACTTGGCTACTATGTCAATGATATACATATCCTAGGAAGTGGATGTGTTTAGGGTTTATTTTCGTCAGAATCTACCTCAGATTCCATAAAACTAAATGTTCTTTGCCCCTCCAGACAAAGAAGTATGGTACCAGAATTTTCTTGATTGAATTTAATATCCTCCTTCTGAGCAAGGTCCAGTACCTGCAATGAATAATATGATGGCAAATGGTGAGTAATATTTTTAGTTTGTTTTTCAGTGCACAAAAATCAGCTTGTACTTTGTTATTGGGCTGTTTACATACATAACACCCGAAGCATTGTTATTTACAAATGTAGCACTCTCATTCATCTATTTTTTCAAATTCTCACTTAGATTTCAAAATTTATGATAAAACTCATGCCTATACTTTTCATTTTATCAATTTCTCAATGATTTGATCGTGACAAGCATAAATACATCGGTTCGGTGGTTCAAAAATACCACATGGGTGCTATATTTTGTAAATATCAATATTCAGGTGCTATGTATATATTATCCCTTTATCGACAACAACAATAACAACAAGCCTTTATCCCACTAGGGGTTGGCTACATTAATCCCTTTTCTCCACTAGGTCCTATTAAGTATCATATCTTCATTTAATTCTATTAGGTTAAGATCATTTTTTATATAATATGACCAAGTCCTTTTAGGTCTACCTCCGTCTCTCTCGTCATAAGTCGAATTTTAAAAATTTCCACTCCTAACTAGATCATCAGATGGTCAACGAATAATATGACCAAACCATCTACCATCTAAGACGACTTTCTCTATTTCTCTAATCTTGTCCGCCATTGGAGCTACACCAACCTATCACAGATATATATTCATTTCGCATTTTGTCTCTAAGTGTCAAGCCACTCATCCACCTAAGCGTTCTTATCTCAGCAATCCTTAACTTTGTTTTATGCTTATCTTTTAAAGGCCAACATTCTGCGCCGTAGAGCATTTCAAGTATGGCCACCATCTTATAAAATTTTCCTTAAAGTCTACATGGTACTTTTCTATCACAAATTAGACCCAATGCATTCCTCCACTTCAACCAACCAATTTGAATCTACTAATAACATTCAAATCTATATCACCATCACTTTGAACAATAGAACTAAGATATCTAAAATGTTAACACCTTCTAATGATTTGCTCACCATAGTTATCACTAGAGCTGCAGATACCGGGGACAACACAAATCACAATAGAAACAATAATATTATTGCTGAAATTGAAAACAGTAACAACGACAACGCCTCCCACATCAAATAATGACAGACAACACAACAATACCCCAGGGAAGGACAAAGGTGCAGGGTGGTGACTGGCCACAAGGTAGAGGCGGGGTGGAGGTTCCGGCGGTGGTGGGGGGGAATCGAGAGGGAGGGATTAACGGCTGGTAGCAGGAAGAGGTAATGGGTCATGGCAATGGAGGGAAAGGACTAGAGATGGTTATGGGTAGAAAGGAGGTGTGGCGGAAGGGCATAAGCACAAGGAACCAAGGGTTTGGAGGAAAGTAGCAGGCTGCTGACAAATCTGGGGCAGACATGGGAGGGGAAGAATGGCATGAACGAGAAGTGGCGGCTGGAAGCAGTGATCTGCGGGAAGAGTTCGGCTGGGGAAGATCGGCAGGGGTGGCAGCAGGCAAGGGAGGGGATGTCGGGGAAGATAACCACCTCCGGGGAGAGGGTTACAGCCGAGCACCACCCTATCCGTCAGATACAGCCCTCGAAAGGGAAAACAGGACGTTGGCGGCTGTCCACACAACTGAAATCAGAAGCAGCATAAAACTGAACCCTAAGACCTAAGAGCACATAAATACTTAGAAGATATGTGGAGGACGTAGGACCCCTCTTCTATTGGGTGGCAGCTCAAGCCTAAGGGTCAGCCAGCCCTAATGCCTCCCCCAACTAAACCGATTCAGCCCCTAGACTAGTTCAGTGGGTGGAGGACCATGTCAGGTACAACTACTATAATTGCATTTCATGTATTCAATTTTAGATCGACTCAATAGAAGCCTTTAGACTCCAATGTGGACCTCCAAAAACATAGTTAATGTATGACAGTAGTAGGTAAAATAATAGATTTATGCAATGAATGCACCAGCAATTGGTAAAGATTCACAAAGTTGGTTGATGAAACTACATTCTTAAGGAGCTTTCATTTCTATTTGTCCCTCCTACGTTTTTGCTAGATATAAGTTTTGATTTGTATGCATCCGTGGACCACATGAGCCTACCAAGGAAACCGTGGATCAACTGCTATATTTGAGGGGGAGAAAGTATTCTCCCTTAATTATCCACTATTGTGTTTTATTTATTTCCTTCTTATTATGATGATTCGAATTTCTATTCAATTGTATTAGGGTTAGCCTGAGTTGTGTATACACTTGTTAATTGTTATTTGCTTGCATTAAATGAATGAAAAATTAGAGAGTTTTTTACTTCTAAGAAAGTTTCTCCCAAATTCCACAGTAAGAATTGCAAATACCATTTTAAAATATATTCGACTAAAAAAATTATTTTTAAAATTTTCCTCTAGCCTGACAAGTAAATATCCTGTATCAGTTGAGCAAATACTAATAGTATGAATTATCCAGGCTCAATCAACTATATTGCTTTAAACCGAAAATCAAACTTATGACGTGTTTCATATCTTCAACTACAGGAAAAAAAAATTCATAAATTATATCTAGCTCGTGCAATGAGGCAAGCCTTTAGCAGCAGTTTAATGATAATTAAAAAAGCAGTTCAGCCGAAAACCATCAAAAATGAAATGGTGGCTTTGGGTTGTTGTGGCTTTACATGTTAATTATAGTTTCAGTTTTGATCAATTAAAAACCAGCGTATTTTTTGCTACAGCATTTGTTCCCTATATTTGGATCTTGATGTCATGAATCCATCTCCATTCAATTTTGCATTTCTTGCAAAAATATGAGTGGAATCAGATTAAAACAATAAACTAAAAAAATACTAACAAGAAAAACAAAATAAAACACTTCCAATTAAAACATTAAATAGAAGATAATGTAAGCCATGACATTAAGAAAAAATTTTGAATAATTATGCTTTTTAACAGTGATTCAAAATTCTGACAAATAAAGGAAAAACGCAGCAAAATGAGAACAATTTTAACTTGTCCATACCGCCCGCCTCAATTTGCCCAGTCCAACACCATTTGCGCCACACCCGGTTATAACTCTAAGAAAATGGACAGCTAGCCAATTTTTAAGAAATAATTAGCTTCAATACCATAAATACTTTTACATTTAAGAATAGAAACAGCAAAGAAAATGGTCACAGCATTTAACATGAGATACATACAAGGAATGTATGCGAACAGTAGTAGGTGAAGCTTCAAGAGCCGAATGGCTTGATTGACATGTTGCCCATGTAAATCAATCGTGACACTGTTTTTTATGCCCTTATTTCTGCATGAAAAATATGCTAAAACGTAATGTTAGAAGCACTTCCGGGATATAATTTTTAAAAATGATATAAGAACCTGGCCTCGAAAATCTCCCGGCTGGCTTTCTCATCTGCCTCATGAGCCAACTTCTTGTAGAATTTTCCCTAAATGAAATAAAAGTTTTCTTTTAACCAAAACAGTATCTCCATTGTTGACAAAAATGAGAATAAGACATCACAAAGTAAAACTTTATGGGTATGAAAATTTCTTGTACAAAATTGGTAGGCAGTTCAACCACTTCTCCAAATTGCAAGGATGCAATCTCAATTTCATATTAGTAAGAAACAAGGGCCTTAAACAGTATTATAAATTACTACAAATCCTCTAATTATCTTCTGCTATCCGAATTCTTATTTGCTCGAGTATCATACTACATTATTACATTTCCACCTGAAACACGAAGGTCCCAACACCTAGGTCATCATAATAATCATCATTAGCTTTATCCAACTATTTAGGGATGGCATTATGATTCCTCCAATTAATTTTTATCTTCAAGACTCTTTATTAATCTAATGTGTAGTATCTAATACACAAGGCCCTCATATCAGATTTATAATAATCATAATCTAACCACTAAGGCCAACATTAACTATTTAGGGTTGGCATTATGATTCCTCTAATTAATTTTTATTTTCAAGACTCTTTATTAATCTAATATGTAGTATCTAATACACAAGGCCCTCATATCAGATTTATAATAATCATAATCTAACCACTAAGGCCAACATGAATCCTCATTTTCCATTAACTTCTTACTAAGGAGGCATTAAACATATTTTGCGCATATTTTTGCAAATATTAACCATCATATGGATGCATTTTTGCTTTTCTCTCTATGTCCAAATCAACTAAAGGGTTGAGAAAGGAATGCATTGCAAAAGGAATAAAGTGTAATTAAAATGTAGAGTATTTGAAATACTTTTGAAGCTATTCGATTTTGTGTAAATTAAATGTAACAATTTGTATTTTTATATATGGTTTCAAGAAAAATGAAATCAATACAAAACATGCTTGGTGAGGGGGCTGTGTGACGCTGCGATAGGTGGAGACGGGTGGCAGCGGCGAACATCAACAACAAGCTGCAAATTGGGATGTCAGAATTTATTGGCAGTGGCAGGCTGCCAATGGTGGTGGCAGTAACAATGACGATAGCAACTGTAGGAGGTGTTGACCTCATTTTGAGGTCATTTTTCCTCTTCTTACTATGGTTTCCTATTGACCATCTTAGAGGACTAGTATTGGGATCCATCCCTCTTAGAAATTCAAGCCACTTCGTGATTCTCTTGTGGTGTCTTGCATGGGTGATATCAAATCATCGTCGTTTGGTCGAGTGGTTAAGGACCATGTGGAGACTCAGAGAGAAGTTCCCAATAGGATCTCAAACCCTAAGGAAACCACTTTAAGACTTTATCAACACACTCACACACACAAAATTCACAAAATCCACTCAGTTGCGCAAAATCGGACTAGAATTGAGCTTAAACAGAGTAAAAATGTGAACTTCTCCGGACAACCCTCGATGACGAAACGGATTGTGTCGGCGCGTCCGGAACGTCAATTTTAGCTATGGAGGACACCCATATTGCCATAATTCAGCATATGAGCAAATCGCACGCAAATCGATGAATTAGTCCAAACGACATCGGATGACGAAACGGACTGTGCCGGCACTTCCGGAGAGTCAATTTTACCCTGGAGGGATACCCACTTTGCTAGGGTTCCAAGCACGAATAAATTGCACGTTAATTAATATACTTAAATAATATAATATAATATAATATAATATAATAATACAAAAACAAAAAGAAATCCTTATTTTAAACCTCATTTCACCTAACCCGCATCTCGTAGCCTCACCTCCCTTCTTCCCAGTCGCGGCTCGATC